GTAGAACCACCAAATTTTGTGAGCATATGAAACTCAAAACGGAGAATTCGCCGGTAAACATATCTCATTTTTGTCTTAACTTGAGTTAGGCGGTTTGTGTGTGAGGAAACTGAGATGTTATATTATTTCAAAACGTTACATATTATCTAAATTAGAAAAGACATAAAAATAAATTAAAAGTTACGTCAAACGTTACTTATGGTTTCATTGCAACAAATAGTTAAAAAAGGCCATTGTTGGGGTTTTGGGGCGTATAACTTCTAGAGGGGGGGAGATAGATAAAAATTTTGTTCTACGAAAATAAGTTGCTAGTAAAGATCTATGTATGTATAAAATTTCAGCTTTCTATCTTCAATGGTGAAGAAGTTCTGTAAACAGACACACAGTCGGTATAAACCGATTGAATTATACCCTCACCTTTCGTTATTGTGTAACAATAACTCCAACCTGTGAAATCATTCTATAGAAAATTCACGGATATGTCTGATCTATAATTGGACATCCAAGTGCCAAGTTTCATGAATCTGACTTTATAATTTTGCCGAATATAAAAAATTTGCTGTTGGAGTTGTATGGAAGCCACGCGAACCGGTACAGCTATCCCATTATAATTTTTAGAGCATGTGTAGAATATAATTGGACACATGTATACAAAATTTTATATATATAGCTTTATTAGTTTTTCAAAAATTTAAAATAAACTCTTTGAGTTGTATGGCAGCTACCCGAACCCATTGTCCGAATTAGTCAATAACTCGTCCTCGGCACAAAAAAAAACTTGTGAAAGTTTGGTGTCGATTGGATTATTCGTTTTTTAGTTATGGTGCGTTCGGACGGACGGACGGGCATGTCTAAATCGACGCAGATTTTTACGCTGAGCAAGAATATATAATGTCCATATCGCAGATGACTCCTGCAAGTAGTTACAAACTCCATACCAAAGTTAATATACCCTTCACGAAGTGCAGGGTATAAAAAGTAGTTGAAAGCTGATACTCAAAAAATAGAGTCATTATACTAGAATGAATTGTAGAATACAAAATCGTATTTCTTTTAAAATAATACTTAATAAATTAAAACTCTATTTGATTTAATTTTGTTCCAACAAGAAATTGTCTACTGCTGATATAGTGTCTTGTATTTAAAATATATATAAAATAAAAGAAAAGAAAACATTATGTTTTTTTTTTTATGATAATTCCGAAGAAGAATTATAAAATTGACGCAGTCTATGGTTCGAACTTACGAGTACTGAACATGATTTTGAAAGGTTAAGAGATATATTTAGAACTTTTTTGCAAAAAGGAAAAGTAAGTATATATTCAGAATTATCTGATAGGTTATATAACGTTGTTCAAATAAAATTAATAGAAATGTTTTCAAATAATAAGGAAATAAAATATATAAGAAATGATGCATATGGATACATACGTTAAATTAAAAAATAGTTTTTTGACATTCATTGATAAATTTTCAAAATTATACAATATATGATTTAAATGATAGAAACCACATTGTAATTAAAGAAAAATTTGGGGAACATTTTACAAAAATAGGAAAATCCAGAAAAATAATAGCAGATAATGAATTTAAGGCAATTCAAATCAAAGATTTTTTAGAAAAAGAAAAAGAAGAATTAGACTTGACAAAAATAAATAGTCATACTGATAATGCGGACACAGAACGGTTTCATAATTCGATAGCAGAGAAAATTAGAATTTTAAAACTAACAAACAATAAAGTTGGGTCAAACCAATGGTTTGTATAATAGTACCTTTCCCCTTAACAAGTGAAAATTCTGCTTTTAAATACAGTCTATGTATACCTATCACCCTATTAAAATTATTTTCATTCATATACACAACTATTTCTAGGATTGCATATACTTAGGATGAACAAGTCAATTATGCAGTCTTTGAAATAAAGCAAACATTAATATAAAGTGGGGTTAATATAATGCTCGATTTTAAGGGTTAATTGTGTTAGTTAAGAAAAATAATTATATTTTTTAATGTCATGGAATTTACCGTTAGCTTTTTGTGTTTATAGAAATTTGAAAAAACTTTCAGGAATATAATGTGTCAAAAATGCAAATTTTACAAATTTCAAGAGGTGATAACTTGAGAGGGGGTGGAGTTGGAAAAAAATTTTCTTCTAACGAAATGAACTATTTGTTAGTGTCTAAAAGTCTCTAAAATTTGAAGCTTCTACAAGCTGGGGTCTAGAAGAAAAACGAAATCAAAAATTTGGAAAAAAAAGACTTTAGATAACGGCAAATTTGAACGGCCATTTTGTTTTTCTAAAGTTTAATTATAGTATACCGCCCTAGGGGAAGAAAGCCACTGCCTTTATGCTATTAAAAAATTTTAAAAATACTTATGGTTTCATTGCAACAAATAGTTAAAAAAGGCCATTTTTACGGTTTTGGGTGTTTATAACTTCTAGAGGGGGGGAGATAGATAAAAATTTTGATCTACAAAAATAAGTTGCTAGTAAAGATCTATGTATGTACAAAATTTCAGCTCTCTATCTTCAAGGGTGTAGAAGTTTTGTAAACACACACGCGGACAGACGGACGGACAGAGTGAAACTAATAAGCACTTTTTTTCAAAAAATTTTTGGAAAAATGCTAAAAAGGATGCATTTAACCTTATGTCTTATATTTATGCATAAAATATTTAAAAAAGGGTAATAATTATGATCCCTTTTTTAGCACTTTTCCAAAAATTTTTTGAAAAAAAGTGCTTATTAGTTTCACTCTGTCCGTTCGTCCGTCCGTCCGTCCGTCCGTCCGTCTGTCCGTTTGTCTGTATACAAAACTTCTACATTCTTAAAGATAGAAAGCTGAAATTTAATACGTACACAGATCTTTACTAGAAACTTATTTTCGCACAACAAAATTTTTACCTATCTCCTCCCCTCTAGAAGTTATACCCCCCCAAAACACTAAAAATGGCCTATTTTAACTATTTGTTGCAATGAAACCATAAGCATTTTTGAAATTTTGCAAACGCAGAAAGGCACTGGCTTGCTTCTCCTATCGCGGTATACTAAAGTTAAATTTTAGAAAAACAAAATGGCCGTTCGAATTTACCGTTATCTAAAGTCCTTTTTTTCCAAATTTTTGATGTCGTTTTTCTTCTAGACCCCAGCCTGTAGAAGCTTGAAATTTTAGAGGCTTTTAGACATTAACAAGTAATTCATTTCGTTAGAAGAAAATTTTTTTCCATCTCAACCCTCTCTCAAGTTATCACCTCTTGAAATTTGTAAAATTTGCATTTGTGACACATTATATTCATGAAAGTTTTTTCAAATTTCTATAAAAGCAAAAAGTTAACGGTAAATTCCGTGACATTAAAAAATATAATTATTTTTCTTAACTCACACAATTAACCCTTAAAATCGAGCATTATGTTAAGCCCTGTTTATATTAAACTTTGCTTTATTTCAAAGACTGCATAAATGGTTCATTCTAAATATATGCAATCCTAAAAAATAGTTTCGTTTATAAATGAAAATAATTTTAATAGTGTGGTAGATATACATTGACTGTTTTTAAAAGCAGTATTTTCACTTGTTGAAGGGAAAAGTGCTACAATACAAACCATTGGTTTGACCCAACTTTATTACCTAAACATTTTAAATAAAAAAGTTTTATTTTTAAATTTCTATAAATTTTTATAACTTCTATATAACTTCTATAAATTTCTATAATAACTTCTATAAATTTCTATAATAATTCTATAAGAAATAATAAATTTAAACTCAAATGGCTTAATATTTTTATTTCTTCAAATTAAGAAATTGCTTATAATTTTCTATAACAGTTTTTTAAGTAAGTTTTAAGTTTTTTTAACGTAGAGAAAGTTAATACTTTTTGGTTAATATAAGTAAACTCATTTTGTGGTTCAAAACTTATTACTAACTTACAAACCCATATTCTTTTCTTTAAAATTTTCCATAAATACGAATAGCCATATATTTATAACCAAAAAACATGCAATTATATATAAAGAAGGGAAGTGAACGAAATGAACTATTGAATGAGATTTTATAATCGGTCGGTGAAAAAAACGATATTGCCCATAACTAGAAAAAAGTTTGCTGTCGAAGGTACACAAATATAACAAATTATAAATTTGGTTGCTTATTATATTTCAACTGCAACTGACAGTAAATGCATCTCTAACTGAATTTCATTTACATAAAATTTATCATTAACTAAAATTGCTACACCATCGTGGGCAACTGATCCAGAATTAAGATTGTTGTTAGGGTTAAATACATTATAATTTGTTAATTTAAGGATATGATTTCCCGGAAATTTGGTTTGTTGAATTGAAAAAACGAAGTAGTTATATTTATTTTCTAATAATTTAATATATTAATAACAATGATAAAATTCATCATAATTCAATTGCATTAGTTTTATCCATGGACAAACCCATGTTCTCCGAGATACTATTTCGTTGCTTTTTTTCTCGTTGGTTTCAGTCTTTTTGCCCGAACTCTCATCTATATAAGTTGAGAGGCGAATAGCAAAGGTTTGCTAAATTTGAAATTTTGAATAATAAAGCGTCGTGACAAACTTTATCCCTCGCCTAGGTACTAAACCAATTCTTCCATGCTTTGTTCTAAAACCAAACTGATGATTTGGAATCAAAGAGAAATCGGGCTATATGACTTTGCCTCATTCAAGGGTTCCGCCGGTTTTCCTATCATAATAACTTTCGCTACTTTCCAAGTACTAAGAACATACGTCAGTTTAACTGCTGTATTTATCAATTTTTTCAAAAATGTCATAGTTTTTCTCGATAATTCCCTTAATATTTCAGCAGTAATGAGATTAAAACCTGCGGCCTTATTTGATTTAAGCGACTTTATCGCTCGGCAAATTTCTTTTTGATTAAATAAAGCCATCCTGCATCATCTATGTCAAAATCAACCTGTATCATTTCCACAATAAAACAAGTTTTCCGTCCTTTGCGGAATGTTTTAATATGACTAAATCTAAGGAAATTCATGCATCTTGTGAGTAAAGGTATATATGGACCAGCATACATTCTTTCTTATCCTACATCGCCAAATTCAGGTGAATCCGTATTATGAAATGTGAATGTAAAAAGTTCTGTTTGAATTTTGTAATTTTTAACTAATTTTATAAACCTATAAATTGTAATTATTCTTTACTTTTTCTCTTTTAGCTCTCTTAAAATTTCTTCGTCAAATAAATAAAAGAAATCAGATCATCAAATTGTGATGGATCAAATTTTTTGTTTGAACCAATACCGTTCTGAATATATATTTTAGGAATAGATTGTTCATATATTTTAAGAATAGATTTTTATCTCCTATTATGGGAGCAATTTTTTGTTGGAAACTACTATGTGTGTTTTGACAAATTGTAATTTCTCCTAAAATTGTAATTCTTCTTTTCTTCTTTGGTATTGAAACAACTTGTATTCATTTGACCGCTGGAGAAATTATTTTCACAACCTCAATTGAATGCGTTCTAAAAAATCTTTCGAAAAATTCCAAAAAATAAAATTAAGATGATGTAGAATCAAAACTCATTCATTTGCAGATTAGTAAATTTTGAGTAAAATAGAAATTTTGTGAGTAATTCAGCACTCCTAACTTATTTCAAGTAATATTATTTATACACGTGAAAAGGTGATCTAAAGCCTTTCTGTAAAAATATATTAAAGATAAACAAAAAATTTTGAACAAAAAACATAATTTAAAAAAGCTAATGGTTTTTGTTCACCAGAACAATTTTAATCAGAAATAAAAGCAAAAATGTTTTTAACGTCAATTTTATTAAATTTTTTTTAAATTGAACAATAATATAAATTAAATTTTGGTTATGGTATGTCATAATGTTGTAAGAGTTTATAAATTTGCCCTATGCTTGTTTTATGGGAATGCTTCCCTATGCTCTGTTTCGTATTTTAGGTACTTTTATGAAAATTTTAAATATTTTGCGTAAACAAATCAAAATACCTCGAAAACCGAATCGGGGACCAAAACATTTTTTATCACCTTAAGAAACTAACTGAATGTAAGTAGAACATCGTTCATTTCTATACTACTTCGATAAGGAGTGACAACGGCCACATTTGCTGATGATACAGCAGTTATCGCAATTGGACGAAATGAAAATGAATCTACACAAAAATTGCAAAGAGCCAGTGATGAGATCTTAAAATGGACTAGAAAGTGGAATATAAAAATTAACGAGGTGAAATCAGTACACGTAAATTTCACTAATCGGAACATTGACAATTCATTTTCGGTTCAAATAAATGGCATCTTGATTCCGTCCGCAAACACGGTGAAGTACTTGGGAATGACGTTGGACGCGAAGCTCAGATGGGAGGAGCACATAAAGAAAAAGAGAGCTCAATTCGAGGAGGAATACAGAAAGTTTAAATGGCTTTTGGGAAGGCGTTTTTCGTTATCAATATACAACAAAGTTTTGATATATAATTAAATATTTAAGCCTGTCTGCGCAGACTCATATTCAATCTATTCAAAGATATCAAAATAAAGTATTAGGGGACATGGTAAACGCTCCCTGGTATGTCCGTAATGCCGATATACACAGGTCTTACGATCCTAAGTGTCACAGACGAAATTAAAAATCAAGCAGTCATCCAATCATGTCAACATCGAGGCGGCTCGATTGGTTGACAATCAAAACCTTGTTAGGAGACTTAAACATACGAGACTTCTTAGGTTAGGTTAATGTTTTTTATCTGGAAGAATGAGTACTTAGTACGCTATTGTGCCCGATCAAAAGCTTGTAAATAATCCTGGGGCCTTCCTAGGTTTAAGAGTCCTGATTTCTTCTATAACATGCGGGCAGAATATATCGGCCAAATTATCCGCAAACACATTTGCCTTGTCCTTGTCAGTTTTTGCCCACGTTTCACCTTTGTTTTTAATAGGAGCGAGATGTTTGATAGGTTGCTTCTTTGTTGCCCTCCACAGTGAATAATTGGTTTTCTCACACGCCGTTAAATTTTGAACATAATCAGCAACCGAACCCTCTTTGTATTTTCTAATACAGCGTCTTAGTTGCTGCGATTCACGATTATATCCGGTTTTATCAGTAGGATCACGCGTTTGCTGCCACCTCTTTCTCGCCCGCCTGCTTCGTTTTACTTTTGCTAGTATATGTGGTGGATAGTTAATGCCCTCCCTTCTAATAGCATTAATTTTGGAACTACTCCGAGCCGCATTTTGAATAATTTTAGCAAAGTTTTCGGCCTCTTCATCTACGTGCTGTGTTATTCTTATTCATTTCCTTAGATCTATTTGTCGTTCAATCTCTACGCGAAATCTTGATGAATCTGTAGTTCCATTTGTCCACGCAGGTTTCGCTCTTTTCATAACTATATTTTCCTTAAGTTCAAGAATAACCACCGAATGATTGGAGTTAAGATCGTAACTTTCATATACCTCGATGAAATTTTTCGCAATCCGTTTCGTTATGAAGAAATCTATTAAATCTGGACACTTATTAACATCGGTTGGCCAATACGATGGCCGTGCCGCCAATTGCTGTCCTAAGTTCTCTTCCTCTAGTTGAAGTAGAGTGCTTGGCGTTAAAGTCACCCCCCAATATAAATCTATTGCCTAGGTCTGTCAGAACGTCTTGAAACATTTCTGCTGTAATTTAAATCTGTAATGTGACAATATAATGCAGTCGAAGTGATCTGAACTGCTGTCATTTGCATTTCCTCGGTTTGCATCTGGTGCAGATCGCAGTGCACCACATTTTCTTTTATTATTATCGCCGTTCCGTCCTTCGCTATATTTCCAGGATGGTTCGAGTTGTAAATTCTATAACCTGGAAACTGAAACTTGTTTCCTCGTGTATGTAGAAAAACTTCAAGCATGTCCTTTTTATTTGCAATACCATTGCAATACCATGTTGCTATTTTGAAATTACCTCGTGCCATAATTTACCAGGTCTTTTGTAATTCGATTTTTTCCCTCCGTTCTCTAAAATGTTCAATCTCTGAGAGATTTTGTCCATCATATCTAGCATGCTCTGCATCATATTTTGCATTTTATACAAAACACCCACGTCACCAACCCTTGATTTATTGCTCGTGGCACCGTCATCAGTTTTCGTTTTGAGAACGTCCTTGTATGTTACATTTTTTAAGACTATTCTTGAGTAAATTGCTTCGGTGGCTGGTCAATTCTTCTTCAAGTTGTTGTTGCTGTTTTTATTTCTACATTTTTGCCGTTACATAGCTACAAGGCATCCCCTATAATTTGCTGGGTGGGCCTCCAAGCAATTGGAACACTTTGCTGCAGTATCCTTTGGCTTACTACAAGCTGATGTTAAGTGCCTGCCTACACATTTAACACAATTCGGTTCTCTCTGGCAAAATTTTTGTGTATGCCCATACCTTTGACTCCTTTTACTCTGCGGAATGGTCCTATCCTTTCGAAGTGCCTCTATCCTAACTTTCATCCTGCTTATGTGATCGATTTCATAAATTTTTTTCATCTCGTCGTCACTTGACAAATTTAGCATAAATAGCGGTAGAGGCACCATAAGGTTTATTCCATTTTCTTTTATTTCCAACGTAGTTGTAATTATTCTCCAACGTAGTTGAATTACCACCTGGGGTACTAAATCCTTTTGTTTTGTCCATTGCACAAATGATTAAATTCTGCATTTTATACCTACTGCCAGGATTCAAAAACCGTCCCTCAGGGATCAGACGCACACCAGGAAGCCGAATATTCTAGGTCAGACGCTTCTGAATTTACCGCCCGCGCGCTTCCTAACCAACGTAATGACTTGTAAATAAGTTACCTACTTTCAAGGCCTTCCCGATATTTGAAATCCGTCAATTAATACTATGTTTCATGATAAAAATATACTATGTCAGTTTTTAAATCTATAAATAATGTATTTAGAAACAACATTTTACAGGAAAAAACTTTTTGTGTTGCGATTTTTATTCTACTACGATTTTTTAATTTGTGTTTTTAGTGAAATAACGGAGATTAACAACATTTTTATGTGGGGAAACATGTTTTTTCACAAGAGAATAAAACCTTATCGTTTAAATTTTTTAAATCTTGCAAATATATTGGTTTTGACTCTACTATCTTTAAGCATTCAAATTATTTTTTTTTTTAATTTTTATTTTTTAAGAAGAAAAATTATTGTTTGCTTATCCAATGAATACTAATTAAACGAAGCATTTAAATGCTTTTAATTACAAAAATAAAATACTTCTTTAATAGTTTTTTGGCCTCGAAAATAATGATATTTTTTGGTTAATGCTGGCAGCAACTTTTTATTGTACAAAATATAAATCATATTCTACGCTGGCTTCAAAAAATTTCTGCTACTCTCTGCCCATGTAGTAAAATATTATGCCCATGGTTTTTTCTATTTCAATTAAGTTTAACATATATTAAATTTTATTGTCTTCAAAACAGGTGGAAGAATGTCGGGGTCCTCCTAAGGAAGGAGGCGCAGTGCGAACCTCAAAATCTATATTATATTTTACAAGATTTTTCCAGTTCATGAACAGGTATACATATAATCTAATAAATAACAAAAACAAAAAAATGAAAATAGCAAAAGAGAATACTGGGTAGATACATTACTCAATTGATTATACATACTGTAAAACAAAAACAAAAAATGAAAAGCGAAAAGCGAAAGAGAATAAAAAAAGAGTAGTAATATTTTTTTTGTTTTTTTGCTTTACTACCATAAACAAAAATAAAAAGCAAAAGGAAGCGAAATATTTTAAATGAGTTAAGTAAGAGTAAAATAATTTTTTGTTGTTGTATTTAACATGGAATGGAATTAAAAAAAATAAAACTAAAAATTGTGAGAGATATAAGAACACGAATAACGTTACGTTACGTACTTATCTAGATAACTTTGTTTATAAGGAAATTTTTCGTTCTTAATTGTTAACTAATTCTTAATTTGAATTTTAATCATATCTATGTAATTAACAGTGACTCATATTACATCTTAAAATTTATTAAATTAAAAATATTTCCATTACTTTTATTTATCATTAGTATTCAAACCAATATGATATTTATGCATATACAAGTATATACCTGCATATGTATGCCATAATATGTACAAATTTTTCTAAACTTATTTTAAAATTGATTGCCACAATCCTGTTTTTACAACAGATAATGCTGCTTATAAGCAAACCACAGGGGCCCCTAGTTTTCCATATTATTTGAGAAAACTGTCGTGGCTTCCACTAGATTAGTCACCGTGGATTTCTTTTTCAAGAAGCCATGCTGATGCGCACTAATGAATGGCATACAATGGAAACAAATATTGTCATATACCATCAACTCAAAAACCTTAGGAATTGTCGACAGTTTGGACGATAAGACGATAGCTTGACACGTCATTTTTATTATTTTTCTTATGGATTGGCCTAATGAAAGCTTCCTTCCACACGGACGGTAAAATACCCGAAGAATAAGACTTATTAAAAATTAAGGTTAAGATGGGCGCCGGAGAAGAGCAGCACCTGCTTAAAATAATCTCAGGAACTTCATCTGGTCCAAGAGAAGGACTAGAACCCAAATTAGAAAGATAAATTCAGAAATAATTTGGGAATTATTACTTGTATTCCCGTCAAATTTCAAGACTTTTCCTCTTATGGTTTTAAACTTCCAAAAGACTTTGGGATTACGTATTAAGTTCTCCGAAGTTTTATAGATATAGTAGTCGTAATATTCTTTTGCTACTAATTTAAATTGATCATACGACAATCGGAAATTATCGTAGTCCCTGACGCCTTTAGTGGAGAGATATTTGCGCTACAGCTTATTCTTTTTGTTGCGAAGTACTCTCAACTCTTGTGAAAACCATGGAAGGCCAGAGCCAGTATCTTTAGTTTTCAACACTGGAATAAACAATTCAAATGCAGCAAAAATCATTTCGTAAAACTTACCCGTCATAGACTCAATATTAGTAAATTTAAATACTGAAGAGAAGTCGTAAATAGAAAAGAAATCATTTAGCAATCCGAAATTCGCACTTTTAAAATCAAAACGATAGAAAAGGGGCTCGTCAATAGATGGTTTGTCGTCAATGTAATAAGAGAAAGATATCGGAGGATGATAGATATTAACGTTAACCAACGAATCCGGGGCAGTTGTAGGTAAACAATTGTACCAATTGGAAGTAAAGGCTAGATCCAGTTGCCTCGATTGATGGTTTGTTGATATTTGTTGCAAATTATTTAGATGAAAGGTATCTATAAAGGACAACTCCAACTAACTAGAACAGTCAGTTGATATCAATAATGGTTCCTCATCATGAGTCTTCCACCTAATTTCGGGGAGATTAAAATCTCCGAAAATAAAAACCTCATCCGTAGGGTTAAAATAATTGCAAAAATAATCAATTGCCAAAGAAAATTTCGCATATAACTCATTACTTGAGTTAGGCGGTATATAGCAATTGAGTACGAAAAGCATTTTGGATTTCAGCTCAATTTTAACTGCGATAATTTCAAGGTCATCGGAGTCTTGAATGTCAATAATACTAGCTGATAACGAGTTTTTAACGGCGATTAATACCCCACCTCCCTTTGGTGTGTGTCCCTGCAAGAGAAGTGCATGTCGGTCCTTTCTAAAAACAGAAAAAGAAGGGTCGAATAATTCAAGATTATTGATGGAGGGGGACAACCAAGTTTCCGTTAGAACATGAATATCACAGACAAGAAGAAAAGAGTTAAACAGAACGGTGTTAGTTTTAGTCCTTAGTCCAAGGACATTTTGATAGTACAAAGAAAGTTGTTTCACAGTCCTTGCCATACTATTTCCAAAACCAGTTAATTGGACCAAGTTATTGTTGTTATGAAAGCTACTTGAACCATTTTGATGATTGTGCTGAAATTGTTGGAAGAAAAAACTTATTGTTTGCTTCCCTCATCCTCTGCAAATAATCAATCCATTTACTTTTCATATGGCTCCTAAATGTTTGTTAATCTTTATCTAATATATTTAAAGTGTCATGAAATATTTTGAATAAGCTATATAAAATAGTATATTCAGAGGAAAGGGCCTCACTTCCAATAAAAACCTTAACACCTAATCTTGTTTTACCATCGTGGTGGACATTCTCCGCCGCATCGTGAAGATATGCCAAGTACAATTTAACATTCTCATATACAGCCCGATCTCTGAAGCGAGATAGTACATAAGTACTGTCGCCATCTATTGTATACAATGAGATAGGTTATGTGATGGGACCAAAGTTTGGATGTTGAGTTTTCGGTAGGGAGGCACTTCTCCATAGTAGGTTAGCGTAAGTAAAGGTTTTTTAGAGCGATGTGGGTCTGTCGGCCCGTTGGTCTGTGTGTGCACTCGTGTATCTTAAGTTCGGCTGCACCGCTTTTGATGAAATTTTATTTGTGAGTTTATTTTGGCTATTGCACGAATTGGTCAACTTTTGGGATATATGAGATCTCTGAAACTGGACATTTTTGAAAGCCAATTTTTCATTTTTGTGTATATTAAGAGAAATAACCAATCAATTTTTTTGAAATTTAATATTTAAATTCGGGGTGTTAAAATAATGAATTTATAAATTTTTTGGAAAGATCAGAGGTCGGAAAAAAAATGAGGCCAATTTTACATTTTTGAAACGGATTTATGAATTTGTCTTGAAATTTGATATTTGAGTTCTGGCTGTTACCGAAACTAGCTGGTGAACTTTTCAGAGGATTCGGGTGGCACAAAGCAAATTCTACTAAGAACAAAATTTAAGCTTTTCTAGGTATTTTAGCTAAAAGCCTGTTTACTTTCTTGAAAGTGAGAGGAAGTGTGTTTCATAATCTTTGCAACACTTTCACTAAACTACGCCATATGCATTATGATCGGTTATTTGCTGACCACATAAGATTACTTTCCTCAGTGTAGCAAGCATAAACTTAATTATTTAACAATATAAACTAGTCGTGTGTGCTTGCACTGCAAGCCTTGCAAGTATTATATCTGTAGTTTTGAAATTGTGTTCCATTCTGTTTGTGAAATATTTTAAGTTTAGTTTTTTTCTTCAAAAACAAACCCGTAATATTTATAAAAATATGTTTTTCTCTAATAAATAATAAGATAAAACATAAAATAGGAAAAACTCTTAAAAATAATTAGGAAAAAGTGCATAATTAAAAAAAAATAATTAGTTCCTTTAAGATCTAATATTTTTTGAGTAAGCGAATTATTTTATGCGTATACTGTAATTAATCACTTAAAGTGCTTGTTATCAAAGGTAGCTTATAGCTAAACTCAATAGCTTTAAGTTGTAGCATAACTCAAAGCGATGTTGTAAAATAAATTACTCAAAAGATATTAGATTTTAAAGGAATTAATTGTTTGTTTAATTATGTACTTTTTTGTAATTATTTTTAAGAACTTAGTATTTATTAGGAAAAAAACATATCTACATATATGTATATTACGGGTGTTTTTGAATAAAAAAAGTTAATTTAAAATATCTCACGCACAAAATGGAACACAATTTCAAAACTACAGACATAATATTTGCAAGGTTTGCAATGCAACCACACACGACTATTATTATTACATAAGTACTTCTATGGAATAAAAATTTTACAAGTTATACATTAAAATGTGTATACAAAAATTTATATATTTAATAATCAAATAAAAAATTAAGTTCTTATTACAACTTGTTTTTTTTTTTATTTTCAGGTAACTTTGTCGTAAAGCCATCTAATATTCGAATATGGATACATGATAAAGATATCGCAAAATTAACCAGAGTTTTATGGTCTGGTTTAGGATTTCGATTACTAAATGAAACAAGTACTCATGGAAAAGTTAAAAAATTTTTGGAGAATGTACCGTTAGTTTTGGTAAATGATTTAACTTACAAAAGAAATTAGCGCAATTTTTGTAAAATTTTTTCCATAGAATTCTGTACGAGAAATACACCAGGCAGTTATAGACAATAATAGTGATCAATTACAATTCCTACTGGAGCTTCCACCTCCAGCAATTATCACTACCAAAGATCAAAATGGATTGACTGTAGCACATAAAGCAGCTGGTTTAGGTCACATTGAAATTTTGGATTTTATTATTAAAACTTGGCCCCAAGGCGCAAAAGAAGTTGATAAAACTGGAAAAACGCCTTTGCATTGGGCAGTTCTCGCAAAGGACAATATTAATGCCATACAGGAAATGCTAATGCAGAATTTTGGCGTTGAAGAAGATGTTATGGATTATGTAATGCTGTTAATTAAATGGAATTGTAGTTCTTATTGGTTGACCGACAATTAAAAAGCAAATTCATGAATAGCCATCATTAACTATTGCCATAAAATTGTTTATAAAATTATGTTTACAAAATACCGTAAGCCTAACTGCTTTAAGTTTTTGACCTTTAATTTGAAGGTTCTAAAATCTTGCTCAAATAGCAGAAATTTATTTTGATCGTGAAACATTTAAAAAAAATAGGAGAAATTTATTGAATTTTATTTAATCGGTCAATCATTTAGAATAATTATTATGGAGAAAATAATTTCTCAAAAACTGTTGTTTGCATGTGATAAAAATAGAAAAAATTTTTTCGTTATACAGAAAATGAAAACTCCAGCATACTACAAAACTAAACCGCAAGAATTGGAAAAATCGTTTTTACTAGTTCTTCCTTCAGCACCAAGAATTCAAAGAAATCAAGTAGTTGATTGGGGAATTCTGGAAGATGACATTGGCGACTTACATGTAATTTATGTTGATATACTGCTATTATATTTTTTTACTTACGCTTTTGTTTTCAAATTAATGATTTTACCTATTATTTATTTTTCTTCGATTTGGTGACTATTTATTTTATACACAACAACATAGTTTTCGAAAGAATCTGTAATTGAAAAAAAAAAAACAGATAGCTGTTTATTTTTTGTACATCTGAAAAGTATGTAAACCAATCTTATTATGCAAACTTTTAACAGAAAAAGTTTAAAAACACCAAAATTCTTAGATTAGGCTTTTTACATCATTTAAAATGTGTATATGTTGTATTAACTTTTATTCAATAATTGGAAATTTTTTTAATAAAATATAATACACTTTTAATTTGTTTCCTTCATTACACAGATCAGCAGTTAAATTCTTCTTTAAAAATTCACAATTTTATCTACACACTAATCTCTGCCCTGATAAGTACATGGCCACCGCGTACAGAGAGAAAGTCTCATTTTCCGTTTCTGGTCTTTAAAAAAATGTCCAGAGTTTATATAAAGGAAAAAAAATTTTATAGATTTTATATAAAAAAATCTGATTTGGTTAGAACGTAACCGATCGCAATGTATATCGCCTAGTTTAGTGAAAGTCTACAAAAGATTGTGAAAATGCATTGTGAACTACTTTTGATTTTAAGGAAATTAGCAAGCTTTTAGCTAACATACCTAGAAAAGCGTAAATTTAGCTCTTCCATGAAAAGCTCACCAGTTAGTTTCGGTAACAACCAGAACTCAAATATCAAATATCAAGAAATTCTATTAAACCGTTCCGTAGATATGGTTAAAATGTAAAGTCGGCCCTAGTTCACCTCCGGAGGCCAGATCGAATTTAAATATTAAATTTCAGGGAAATTGGTTGATTATTTCTCTTTGTATACTGAAAAAAACGTATATCTAAAGTAAAGTAATAAACCGCTTCGAAGGTCATATTTCAAAACTCAAAATATTTTAACTCAAAATTGAAATCATTTTTTTTTTTTTTTATTTTTTATTGGTGTGAAAAGAAAACTTCCTTTTATTTCCTTCCTTAAAAATAAAATACTTTTATTTTTCGCTAATATATTTCGTGCGCTACATACGCACTTTATCAAAGCTGATTTTCTTCTAAAAAAAAAAAAAAAATTATATTTCGGAAAAATTATCAGCCATTGAAAAAAAAATTTTTTTGAATTGAAATCATTTTTATCTTTATATGATATAAACATATTTAAATGCTTCTTATAGTTCAACGGTCTATAATTATTTTAATTATGTGGATAAAATGAAGCTAAAAGCAATATAATGCATAGCAATTTCGTAAATAATCCATTTTTGATGCATGAATGTTGCAACAAAGGTATATAATTAGCTTTTTCAGCAATAGCCCTTTTTTGTTTTCAAAATAAAATGCAACTGAATAAAAAATGTTTTGATGAACACAAGTTAACAGTATTCAAATAAAAACATTAGCAATTGATAGCAAAATAAAAACATTAGAAATTTATGTTATACTTGTGCAATATACCAATACATATATGTAAATATTAGCAATAAAACAATTTTCATATGTAGATACATATGTCATAAATTTATAATATATAAAAATGTAAATGAAATACAGCTACCAAGTAAATATTAATTGTCTCAAAAAGGTAATTATAAATATTGCAAAGAGCTACTCATTACCTTTTATACTAAAATATATATCACATTAATATTGTTGTGGTTACGCCACTGATAAAATGTTGAATCACTGGTATAAATTTTATAAACTCTTAAAATTTCCTAAATGTAGGTCGACCATAAAGTTGATTGACATGTTCAACATATTCGCATCGGTTTTTATACCCTGCACTTTGTGAAGTGCTGCGTCGATTTAGATACGTCTGTCCGTTCTCAGTCAGTTCTTCAGGGCACCCTTACGGGCTCCTCCAAGCCCTCCCAAAAGGTTGCCAAGCTAAAAATAATATGCCTGTGATCTGAGAAGGAAACCCACTCAGACACGTGCCAGTTCCCCACCAAATAGGCCACAAGGGGGCTAAATATCGTAAGGTCCACGACCTCCCTACGTATCGCGTTTATGAAGGTCGGTTCGTTACCCCTATTAGCGATATCTAAGTTATTTTGTAATAAAAAATCAAAAAGGCACTCACCTCTAGGGTTTGTATCGGTGCTTCCCCACACCTCGTGATGAGCATTGGCATCACAGCCCATGATAAGCCTCCTGTTCTTCCGTTTGCAGTATGTAACGAGTTTCTCTACGTCCTCTGGGGTGACATTGCTCTGTTCTCCAGGAAAGTACGCTGAGGCACATATTAGTCTCTGACTCCCACCTGTTCCCTGAGCCTCAACCTCCATTGCCACCAGGTCTCTTGTGATGAACTCTGGAATTGGAAGAAATTTTATAGATTTATTAAGCCACAATGCGGCTCTTGGTATTTCATGTAGATGTGAGAAAGCCAACTTACATTTGTCACCCTGCAGGTCTTCTTTTATGAAGGCACTATAGCCTCCGCCGTGTTGCTAGTCACCGGAAATCCACCCGTTGCTTTCTCCGCTGCATCCTTGCTGTCAACCGCAGGAGCCCCATCCTAGTCTATTGGCTGATGTACTATCACCGCCGTTTCGGCTGCAGGGTGACCCTTCCTATCGTCCCCCTGCGTTTTCTCTTCTTTCCTCCCTCGCTGGCGGAGCTGGACCTTTCCAAATGGGTAGCTTATGGAATAGTCCAGCTCCCGTAATCTGGTGGCCGAAAGAAGATCGACTCAGATTGTCAGCAGGGCTCTACTTCCGACCGCGTCCTTCCCAATGATTCTCCGCTGGTCCGTCCGCAACCCAGAGTTTTGACCCCCGACGTAGCCCTCAAAGAAGGAAGAAACCTCAAAAGACTTTAGCCCTAGGAATGTCCTCCTCCTCTACTGCCTTCAGTTTTACTCCCTCCAAGGGAGCTATGCTATTGATCTACGTTTGAGCCAGTCTGCAGTACTTTGGTTTTGGCAGACTAGTAGAAGCCACCCTATCCGGAACGAGCTTTCCAGAAACTGTGGCGTCACGCTTCGATCTCTTTCTTTAAAGATGCGTTCCATTATTTCTTCTTAAATGAATAACATCTGGTTGTTTTCCAGCAGGACGTCTGGAAAGCTCTCGTCAAGGACCCCAATCCTGACGCTTCCCGCAACTTCCTTATAACTCGGCTGTCCCCGCTTGGCCCTTACTACAGCACTTTTAGCCACAGTGTCCCGCCGGCCCTTCCCTGAGTTGCTGGTTGTAGTTGTTTTGTTACGTGCAGTTGACTTTTTCTGGTCGGTTGCCAAATTGGGTAACCTATTGCCCCCCAACCGTATTGGCACCCCGCCAGGAGTTCCTTTGGAGGTTATATCTTTAAGACAGGCTCCCCTCTGTGCAGAGGATTTCGGTCTGTCCTGGGAAACTTTGTTCCCCGACTTCACCTCCAACTTGAACTTTTTCAGATCTGCTTGGTGCTTTTCCAGCGAGCCGTCAGATCTGTTTCTTTTTTTTGAACCACTAGGGTTCAAGCAAAGCATCCTAGCTTCACCTATACTAACCCCTCGGTCCAGCAGGCTTTTAAAGTGCTTCTTCGCTGCACCACACATTTTCACCCTTTCAAAGGTACCTGCGTCCCTCTTCGACATTTGTGGGAGTGTAACACTACTCTCCCGTTTTTCGTCTGAGAGCATCGATATTTGGGAGCATCCACCACTTCCGAACCTCTCAGACGATAGGTCTTCCTCACTGTTTGGGGCCGTCGCTGTTGATGTGCTGGCCCCGTACTTGATCATGGACTTCAACGGCACTGTAGCCATTGGCGCCGATGTCGTTTGCTCGCTAGTGTCTTCAGGTGTTGCTGGCGGCACGATAGCCACGTTCGCTACACCGTAGGCAAATTCGTTGCGTCGTCCCGTGCTCGCGTTTGTTGTTGTTGTTTGTAGTTTTTAGTCTTGGTTATCTTCATTTTGAAACCCACGAGTTGTGGAGAAAAGACGGTCACCCGTGGCAGAGATCCCCAGTACCACGAGAAGGCTAATTAAAAGCGGAGGGCGCCTGGTATCCCGAGCCCGCATACTAGTGACCAAGCTCCCCCTTGGTCACGCAAGGGGTTGTATGCTGTTCCACCTTGACTTGGGGCGTCTGTCGTTAGCCGACTTCCAGCATCAGGCTGAAATGCTCAGAAACGAACAGTTGGCGTGAGACATGACCACAGTCCCAACCTAAGTCACTTCACATTTCACTCACCTTTTTACTCTTCATCATTACCAGAGTGCACCACGTGCAGGTGTCAGCACGATTTTACACTCCAAGGGTCAACATTACTTTGATCATAAATAATTTCTTGTGAAAACGCTTATATGAGCATCAAAATGAAATAAGTACAAATACACCAACCACAAAAAAAGTATAAAAAAGTAAAAAAAATTGTTTTGGTAATGTAATGATAGAACCTCCACAGAATAGTTTTTGGGTAGTATAGTGCATGCTCATTATATTGTCACCGGGTAGATTTTATGATTTAGTGAAATCCGAATCCTCCCAAAAAAAAAATTTACTGCAAATCAAACATACATATGCCGAATGAGTATTTGAAATTTAATCGCCGAAACTTTAAGAAATTAAATATCACCGAAAAGTTCACATTTAAAAATTATCAGCTGTTTAATTTTAGTTATGAATCCAAGGAGACAATTTATTCTAATACATTATAATGGACTATAATGAAGCCAGCTCAAGACAGAAATGTGACATCATACGAAAGAGAAATGAGAGAAATACATAAAGGGAAAGATATGAATAAATAATAATTATTTTATATTAATGCAGCCAAACTTGATAACACGGTAGGTGGGAGAATTTACTGTGAGCAATTGTGAATATTAAACTCTCCTTCCGCTTTTCGAATCATTGCAGTGCCTTCCAAGAAATGAATCAACCATAGACGCACAAACAGAACAATGTAACCAGGAAGTTGTGGCTAAAGCTAGATGA